GAAATATCAGACTACCATCCTCTAAAGCCTGGAAGCACCATCTCGAGTGTGCAACCGCTGCACGGCATTCGGTTCCCTCTGTGCACAGATCTGCCACCACAGAGACCCAACTGTCACAGCCCGAGAGGCAAAACAGCACCTTTTCGGTCAGAGAGTGCCCGTCACCAGCGGGCCGGCAGGGACCTCTGCAGATCCCACCCAAAAGGGCAAATTAATGAGGGGCCGGCAACAGGGCCCTGAACGGGAGGGGAGAAACTGGGAGGCAAAAGCACCGAGGGTGTGGAGAAAGGACGAAGATGCAGGGAAACCAATTCCTTCGTTGCAACGCAACGTTTGTCAGTGCAGGTCGCTAGTAATTTGGAAGACCAGAAAAGATGAAATATGGATGAATTTATCCTCTTCTGGAGCAGAGAAACACACGCTGTGATCCTGCTGGGCCAGCGGGGCCACGTTCTGACTTCAGCTATACCGACATTCCTGGGAACGGGCAAAGTATCACATAGTCGAGTTTCCTTCATAATTCAAAAGTTCTCCTGGATTTTGGCCTCCCACGTATGACGGTCGCTAGGAGTCCTGCAGGCCCATGTCTCGCGGGCTCGGCTGTGCGGAGGAGCGTGGCCGGCAGCACGTTTGTGACGACTCTCGTCTACGCAGAAATAGCAATTCCGGCTTTTTCAGGGTGACAGTGTGCGTCCCCTCCAGCGGTGGCTCTGCAGGGACTGCCAGCGTGCAGGGCAGCAGGAGCCCCGGTAAGCACGTCTCCCCAGAAGTTCAGGTCATGGAATTAAAACTCACTGAACAAAAGCTCCTTCCGGCCTTGAAATCCATGAAGCTATTTATCCACCTTCCCTCATTTACGTCCCGTTTGAGCAGGACGAACCAGAGCCCGTCCCTTCATTTGGAACAGCTTCTCCGCACCGACCGCTGCGCTGAAAGGCCTCTAACCGTGCACGGAGGGCTCTACGGAGGCGGCGGGGAGCGACCGCCGAGGGCGGCACGTGTCTCCGCACATCCCCTTGCTTGTTCCTCCCAAGACTTGGGGTTCCTTCAGGTGTGTGTTTAGACCCAGCAGGTGTAGGGTACGGCTCCGCTCGAGCACGGATCAACAGCAGCAGCGGGGGCCGGTGCTGCCCTCCCCGCACCCCCCGTGTTTCCAGTTGTTCCTCCTACCAGCACCGGGACTCACAGGACCAGATGGTGAGCCGGGTCAGGGAAAAGATCTGAAATGATCTCCGCTCTACAAAAAAAGCTGTTAGCGTGAAAAATGAGGCTTTAGCATTAACTACAGATGTGAAAAAAACGACCTCGAGAGGCATGGAGCTTTGCAGAAGGACTGCGCGGTTATTAGATAAATCACCGAGTCGGCTAGTGAGGAAATGACCACTGAGGAAATGGAGAGAGGGAAATGGGATGCGTCTGCTGAAGACGCGTGGAGCTGAACGCAAAAGCCCTGCAGGAAGGCAGACAACCATCACTGCGCACCTCTTATTAGAAGAGTGCCAGCTAATGACACGAGGCGATTACGGAAGACTTTGGGGAAAAAAGAGAAAGCTAAGCCGAGGGCCTGGACGAGGAAAAGACGGTAAAAAACGGAAGAAGTTCGCCGGCAACACACTGACAGGTCACGGGCCACCGTCCAGCCCAGACGACAGGCTGCCTCTGGCGAGCAAGGGGCTCATCCGCTTAACTACGGCCTGGCTGGAGCGGCCAGGGAGGACGGGAGGTCGGCAGGCGACGGCGAGCCCCGCGGCGGCCACCGCAGCAGCCCTGCAGGCTCAGGGGCTACAGTATTAAACTAAACCGTTCACCGGCGCGATGTGCGCGTGCCCACGCCGTTAAAACCCCGTATCACCCAAACTGCCCTCCCGGGACGGGCCCAGGCACCTGATAACCTGGTATCACAGCACGGCTCACCACGAGGAAATGGATGAAGCTCCAGAGAACAACGACGTCCTTCCAAGTATCGGCTTTCCTCTCGCCCCTTTTTTTACAGAGGGAGCGGAGCTACCAAACCTTCAGGCACCCAGAGCTGAATCCAGCTCTAAATGGTGAAACGAAGGCAGCATTAAAAATGTAAAAAATACTGCATGAGAAAATGGAAAAAAACATAAAAGCTTAACAGCTGATGTAAATTATAAATGAAAATTTTTCAAGTGCATCAAATGATGAGAGAAGCTATAACCTTGTGGAAAAAAATCGTGTCTGGCAAGGCTAAAACCACCAAAAAGGAGCCTTCGAAATGAACACAAATATCAGAAGCAAAACAAAGCCCTGGGGTGGTGTACACCGCTTCTTGATAGTCGTGGTAAAATTCTTAATATGGGCAGAGGAATTGTACTTCTGTTCTGCGTTTGACTAATAGTACTTTCCCCTTGTAGTTTCTGTCAGCAAACAGTGAAGTAATTTCCACTAATAATGAGAAAAGGTGCTAAAAAGTATCTACCGGAAAGAATATTTTTAGATCCGTAGGCCAGGGTGGCTTGCAGCTGGGGTTCTTCAGATAAATACATGAGGAGTTATTTGGTCCAGTGAAGGTAATTTTTAATAGATCGTGGAATACCCAGGACTGGAACGTGCTGTGTTGTACTGATACTCAAAAAGGGAGACAAGACAACTTAAATAAGCACAAACATCTTGCCCTGTCATTAATTTGTTCAGAGTAACGGAAAGGCTGCTACGAGACTCGACTAATAAGCAATTATAACTTCATGGAAAAGAGGTCTTGCCAAATAAATCTGATTTTGTTATTTGAATGTATTACAAGTTTGGCTTCTAAAGGAGCGGCACAGATGTCGTATATTTTCATATGAGAGGATTTACCCACAACATTCTCATTAACCAGTTAGCACTGTAAGGAATAACTAAAGCACTTTACACGGAGTAAGACCTGGATGACTGACGGCTTTCGGAAAGCACTCACCGGTGCACAAAAAGGAAAACAGTGATGAAGAGTAGTGAAACTCCTCCCCCAGCTCTCTGCATAGTGCTGCTAAGGTTCAGAGAAGAGTTCAACCTACAGTTGGTTTTTTCCCCAATTTAAAAAATGATATTAAAAATCTGGAGAAGGCCAAGAAATCATCCATATAAAAGACTGCAGTACAGTCTTGTGAGAAGCTCAGCAGAGCTCTACCTGGTTAACGGATTTAATAATCAAGACTGGTAAGTGCCTTCACTGAGATGAGTAACTATCTACGTAGGAAAAAAACAGGGGTGCTGAAGTGCTCCTCAATTTAATGGAGGGAGAACCACATGTACCAGAGCCAACGGGTGTAAACTGAAGCTAAAGACATTAAAACTGAAAATGAGGCAGAAATTTTTTAACTGTGCAAGTAAATTTGCATTGGCAGTGAATTTTCCATTTTTGATTTCTTCAGTTCAAGACCAGATGTTTTGCTGGAAGATGCTTTAATCAAAGAGAAGCTGCCAGGCTCCACAGAAAGCTCTTAAGGGCAAATGCAGAGAACCGTATTATACAACGTGTAGAACCAAGTAATTACAATAGTCACAGGCTCATAGGATAATTCAGATTGGAAGGGACCTCAGGAAGTCTCTAGTCCAGCCCCCTACTCAGAACAGGGTCAACGTCATGGGATGTCCCCGAAGACTGGGAGAAGGCTAATGTCACCCCCATCTGCAAGAAGAGCTTAAAGGAGGATCCAGGAAATTACAGGCCCGTCAGTCTGACTTCAGTCCCTGGGAAAGTTACGGAACAAACCATCCTGGGCGCTATCACAAGTCAAATGAAGCATGTGACCGGGAAAAGCCAGGACAGATCCACCCAGGGCAAATCCTGCTTGACAAAGCTGCCTGCCTTCTACGACAAAGTAGCCTGCTCGATTGATGTGGGGCAAGCGGTGGACATTGTCTACCTGGATTTCTTCAAGGTTTTCAATACGGTCTCCCACAGCCTCCTCCTAGAGAAACGGATGCATTACGGTCTAGACAAGTGGTCTGCGCGGTGGTGGGGAACTGGCTGACAGGCTGCACCCAGAGGGTGGGGGTAAATAGCTCCTTTTCAGTTGGCTACTTGTCACAAGTGGCGTCTCCCAGGGATCGCTCTTGGGCCCGATGCTGTTTCATATCTTCGTAAGTGAGCTGGATGATGGGATCGAGTGTACCCTGATGAAGTTTGCTGATGATACCAAACTGAGTGGGCAAGTGGAGACTTTGGAAGGGAGAGCCGCTCTGTGGGAAGACCTGGATAGGCTGGAAGAGTGGGCTAACGAGAACCTTAACAAGGGTAAGTGGAAGGTCTTGCACCTGGGAAAACAAAATCCAGGAGTGCAACACAGGCCAGGATCTACCTGGGTGGGGAGCAGCTCTGTGGAGGGGGACCTGGGGTTCCTGGTGGACAAGAAGCTCGATATGAGTGAACGGTGTGATGGTGCAGCACAGAAAGCCAACGGGATGCTGGGTGGCATCAACAAGGGGCATCATCAGCAGAGGTAAAGAAGTCATTATCCCACTCTCCTCAGCGCTTGTCAGGCCACACCTGGAATACGGTGTTCAGTTTTGGTCCCCACCACGCAAAAAAGATGTGGACAGGCTGGGGAGGGTCTGGAGAAGGGCCACAGACATGGCCAAAGGGCTGTGAAGCCTGCTGTGTGAGGGAAGGGTGAGAGAGCTGGGTGTGTTCAGCCTTAAGAAGGCTTAGGGGAGACCTTCTCACCATGTCCCAGTATTTGAAGGGTGGCTACAAAGAAGATGGAGACTCCCTTTTTCCAAGGAGTCCCATGGAAAAGAGGAGGGGTAATGGGTACAAGTTAATCCTGGGGAGATTCCAACTGAACATGAGAGGAAAATTTTTCACAAGGAGACCGATCAGCCATTGGAATCATCTCCCCAGGGAGCTGGTGGGTTCCTTGGACACTTTTGAGACTCGCCTGGCCAGGGTGCTGGGCCATCTTGTCTAGACTGTGCTTTTGCCGAGACAGGTTGGACCAGGTGATCCCTGAGGTCCCTCCCAACCTTGTATTCTATGATTCTGTGATTCTATGAACTTAATCTCGGACCAGGTTGCTTAGAGCTCTGTCCAGTCGAGTCTTGAAAACCTCCAAGGATAGAGAGAGTGCAACCTCTCTGGCCCCTGCTCCACTGCTTGGCCACCCTCATGGGGAAGAAGTTTTTCCTTATATCCAGTCCTATTTGCCTTATAATTTTTAAACAATTTTGGGAACTGGAGGAATTAAATAAAGATACTAGATTTATAAATGACAAGTCTAGTAAGAGCCAGCTCCTAAACTAACCTTCTGTACAAGACAGCCTAGGAGATGTCACTAAGGCTTCTGTCAAGCTCATAATTGAACTGCCTGATTCAACTTAATGAATGAGTCCTGAAAATACCAGTTTATCAAATGTGAGTCAGTTATGGTTCCCTTCCCTCTTCTGCAATCCTCCTTCCTCCTGTGCAGCACCTGCCACTTGTGCTCGTGCTCTCTTTCCTCCACAACGTCCCGCAGTGGCCTCCGTGCTCTCCTCATCGGTGTGTTCCCGACACCAATATCCTCTGCTGCTCCACACAACGCCGCCTTCACGTGTCCAGCCACTCGGGCAAGAGGAAACACACACTGGTTGGGCAGTTGGGAGATGAGGGTATGATGGCCCAGCAGGCAAAGACAGGCGTGCTGCCGCCTGCATCGTCTCGTGCGTGGGCAAAGCTCCGCAGGTTGCTCTGGAGCCCGCCTGTCGTACCGGTTCAGAGCAGTGCATCTGAGAAAGATAGTCCACCTGGCCTCCAAGGCTTTTGAGGTGGAAGAGCAGAAAATCAAGCCAGCCAAAAGAACCGCCGTCACCCCAATGAGATGATAGCATTTACCTCCGGTCACGTTTGGGAGGATTAATGTGTGAAGGCTCAGGAGTGCTTTGAAAATAACGGAAAACAGGAAACTCACATCTGAGCTTGTCACCATGTTAAAGCAGATGTCCAAACTGCCTTAGTTATAAAGAGGCTCCTCAAATGTGTGCAAGAAAAATGCTCAGACTGTGGTCACCTGAACCATGAAGAATCACACTATTCCTGATGCACCAACTTTTTATACTTTCCTAAATCTGTAATTCAGTTTTGGATGCCCATTTTCAGAGATATCAATCTTCAACTTACAAAGATTTAGGGTCTGAAGAAATCAAAGTGAATTTAGCAAGTGGCTGTCTTTAAATTTTTAGAAGACAGACATTAACAGGCTGAACAGGAAAAAAATTAACAGTGTGCAGAACCAGTGACTTAAAAAACCCCCAACCTTCCCCAATATTAATACTAACTATGTGCTCATCTGCACAGGGAAACTAAATAAAACAGACACCTCTGAAGTGTACTTGACCACGGCCTCGTGTGTACACACTCCCACTCCAGAGTGCAAGGCTAATCTGAAGAGTGACTGCACTTCAGACTTACAGGCGTGACTTCATCACCCCTTTCCCGTGCAGGCGAGCTCTACATTTTTCTGGAACTATCAAGATGTGCCTATAGCTAATCTAGAAACCCTGTGCCGCTCCTGTCAGCGTCACCTGCTCTCTCCCATGTCTGTCTTTGCCTGTAGTATCGTTGGTGCAGCTTGTCTTAGACCAAAACCCCTTTGAGTAAGGACAATATTTTGCCATTCATTTTATAGAGAGGCTCCTGTCCAATTTAAAGAATGGAAAGAATAAACGCGTAACAGTACCTCAGGCTATAGTCATCAACTACGAGCTCAACTCTAGACTATAAAAAAGTCTATAAAAAAATAACAGACCCTCATCAGGAATCCAGACAATACCATATACTATAGGTCAGACCCAACAGCATCCAGACGTTGCAGGGCTGGACTCACACCACCTGGAGGAACACGGCACCGTGCCGCGGCGGCAGAACTCCGATAGTTTCCAGTTTGTTTTCCAGTTAAAACTGGAAGAACTGAATCGGTACCCAGAACAGCATGCAGTGAATTACCAAATCGAGTACTTTAAAGCCTTCCAAATCTTAGGGCATTTTGATTATTTTAACCAAAGCAGCAGCAGATGAACCTGAAAGAGCTATGAACCGTTTGCACCAACGTGCAGAGCCAGCGTGGAGATGCCTTTTTGCAAATTCCTTCTGTTCCTCATGAAGTATCGATAGCGGCACGACAGCAAAGGGGAATCTCAGAGCGGCAGCAGTGAATTCCCGCCCCGGGGAAGAGGACGCGCTGCGTTTCTGGCAGGACATGGCTTACTTTGAGCAGTTTCATCAGCCCCTCAAGCTGCACCATCAGCTCTCTTCTGCTTTCCTGAAGCGCAGACATCCTCTGTTCCAATTCATCCTTCCTCTGTCTGTTCCAGTTACATGAAAGAAAGAGAAAATAAACTTTGGGTATTTCAAAACCACTTTGGGAAATTCACCCATATAACTGTGTCTTTGGTTTTCATCACTCCCACCTGCTTCCAATTTAAAAAAACAGAGCAAAGCACAGTACAGTGACCATGAAACCTCTGTATAACAACCAAGCGCTCAACTTAAAATCCAGAATCTACCCTCAGCACCTCGGTAATAGGAAGCCCTTTCCAAGAGCACTGCGTTTCGAGAAAAAAAAGCCCACTTTCTTCTGCCTTTTAAGAACTCTCTTAACGTCAGACCCAGGCATCCTGCAGAGCTTTCAGACAAGCGAGAATGAGCTATGGGAGGCAAAAACAGAGAGGGAAAAAAGCGGAGAACAGGCTGCAGATGTTGGGAAAGGAAAAGCTATCACCTGTCTGCGTGGCGGCTCGGCAGAGCTATTTCTGTCCACCAACGTGATGTATAATCTTCGACGTATTTGCTGTACCAGAACCCAGGTAACACGACAAGGAGATAAGACGTGACCTTCCCTCTCCTCGGCATCAGAAACCCACTGGATTTCTACAGATGCCTGTCTGTGAGATATTTAAGGAAGTATGACTGCATGGTTTTATTTTATGTTTTAAAAAAATAAAGGAGTGACTAATAGAAGGAGAAATTCAAAGACAAACTGTCAAGATGTCAGAAGTTCAGTTTCTTCTATGATTTAAGAAATGCTGGGCCCCACAAATCACACCCCCCCAGATTAGAAAGGCTTATTTACTCATCTACCGTTATTTTTGTGGACATAACAATGTCTTAATCCACAGTTAAAGGCACCACACATTACAGACTGAATTTTCAAATGTCTTAGATTGTATCTATGTTCTCACATGACATACTATGGATAAATAATTCAAGAAATTTTAATAACCAACTAGTTTTAGAAACACCAGTTGGAAATCAGAATCAGGAAAGAAACATTTACTTTTTTAGCAAGCTTTTTACCTTTTTTTAGTTAGATTTTTACTTTACTTTTTTTTTAGGCCTTTTTTTTTTAGTTTTTTTTTTACTTAGACTGAACAAATCTGTTGGGTATGGCTTGCTTTCATTATGGTGACCACGAAAATGGCATACCATAAGCATACGCACCAACCAGAAAATCGCTAAGATGCTACATAACAGGATTAACTCGTTTCTACAATGGTTATTAAAGACAGAGATCTGCAAAGCATTAACTATCCTGGGTATTTCTTTCAAGATATTTTTGTATTTTGAAGAATGTAGTTATTAAATGCCAAACCTTATCACAAAAATAAGGCAATAAAGAGATGATTACACATGCCTGGTCACCTAAAATGTGTTAAAAGGCACCACAGACATATCTGTTTATATGGTCCTTTTTCCCTCTCAGGTCAGTTCAACGTCTGTGGCTTTTATTCTATAGTTATTTAGTAAAACATTCTGGTTAACAACTACAAATAACGTAAAAATCAACACATTAAATAAGTATAGCTCCGCAAACGTACTTGTTAAGGGTGGTAATCAATGTGCACGTCTGATTTTGGTTGACGCTATTCAATTCCTTTTTCAATGACCTCCAGCAAAGACAGAGGCACCGTTTGTTAGCGACAAAGGGCGCTAAATGTTTAAAAAAAGAAAGACGGGACAGCCTGGAGGGACACGTGGAGAGATGCCGTTGGAGGCACACGCCCGGGGCAAACGGGTCCCGGGCCCCTGTGTACGAACGGGCATCCCGAGGACCGGCAGGCGGAGGCAGCCAACGCGTCGGCATTACAGGGCAGGGATCCGCAAGGACGACGGATCCGTGCCTCTTCCAAGGCTACGCTTGCCAGCGGTGTGCGAGAGCTGACTTGTCTCTACGGGCCGAGTTGTCTGCAGATTTTAAACCCGGGGCACGTTGGTTTTCTGCGGATTACCTTCCTCATGCTTTCACAGCCCACACAGCAAGCGGGATCACTCGGTGCTTACATACGTTCAAAGGCAAGGTCACCACGCGCTGCTCCCGCCGGCCTGGGGAATGTCTCCCCGTTAGCTGTGACTTTGCGACGTACGTTCACATCACAGACAACCCGCTAACTGTGAACTTCCAGCGTGATGCTATGCAGTCAAGAAAACGAATGTGCGCTTTGAATTCGTCAGCGAGACTGATGTGTGGCGGCAGGAAAGCTAACACTAGCTCTATCCACAGCGCCGGTGAGCTACGTATGAGACGCGGCAGCCCGTATAGAGAAGAGGTGCAGAGGTCTTCGAGAGAACTGGACAGCAAGCTGAAGGAAGAGCCGGAGATTTGGCAAACCCGCTTTATGGAGAAATTGAAGAAGTTCAAGCCAGTTACGCAAGATGAGGTTAAGAGGGGAGGGAATCAAAATCTCTAAAGACTCACGCAGAGAGGAATTTTGAAAAAGACCTTTTTAGCCCAGTAGACAAAAGCGCAGGGAAAGCCAAGGCTTGGAAAACGGCGCCAGGCTTATGAAGGTTAGAAATAACGTGCACACTCTTAGTCCACTGAGCAGAGACGAAGCTCAGAAGTTAACGGATGATCACATGAACAGTATCGGGGGACGTGCCGTGCCGTTTGTTCCTTCCCTAACACGAAAGCCTGGACGTCTGTCTGACGTGGGTGCTGCGGTGCGGTCAGAAAGGGTTCTGCCGGAGCGCTGCAGGCAGAAATTCCCCAGCCCGTGTTACACAGAAGGCCAGACTTGTGATGACTTGACAGGCTTTACGTGCTGAATTCAACCTTTTTTTTTCCTCTATTTGCCAATGCTGTTCATGTATTTGAAGGCCAGAAGTGGCTACAACGATCATTCAGCTTTTTTTCCTTCAGCAAAATACAAGCCCTCTAATTCCTCCTGGTTAGCTCTGTTTTGTTCCCAATAACCTGTATTTTTGGAAAAACATCTTTAGAAAAGACATCTAGGGACTGAAACCTCTATCACTGCTCTTGAGATTATTGCCTCGCTTTAAAAAGCATGTGCTTTAAAAAGCATGGTCTGAATGCGGCTGGTTTCCAGTTTAAGCTCTTGGTCCTTTTGTCTTTCTCTGCTGGGTCAAACAACGCATCAGGTTGCCCCGCGATCTCTTTTTTCTCTACCTCTTGCACAACATTTGTGGGTAACTTCTGCATCCTCTCCAGTTTTTTAAACATTGTAAAGCATAAAGCTAGAAAACCTATCTATGAGCTATTATATTTAGGTAATAGAATGAAAAATATCAGAGAGATGCCAAAATGTACGATAACGTAGCAAATTCTGTACGAAAAAGTAATGAAGGAAGTCGAGAGCCTTAGATTTTGCAATATGGGGCTGGATTATACCTTGCAGACACTGCTGGCAGTTGCGGTCACTCCGACCCGAGAGCCCTGGGCTTTATGGAAAACCTGTAAGCATTCCTGGGAAGCACAACTGTGCCGCTTCTGAAGCGGGCAGGAAAAGCTTACCCCAACGAATGAAATAAATACAAGGCAGTTTGCAAAGAGCTGCTGCTGCCAAGAGCTTAGATTTTAGAACCTACTTTAGATTACAGATAGCATTTTTGAAGGCTGAGCTCTGAATTAACTAGTAATAGAAGATGAAATCAAATATAGCCAGAGAATGCCCTTGCGACTACCCAACCTATGAAACGCTTTATTCTATAAATACTGTCCATTTTTCCCTGTCGCTTCAAAATGCAAACCTAATCAAAGAGGCTTTGAAGATTGTTCTCCAGCTTCGGATGTATGCCTGGCTACCTGTGCGTACGAACTTCTGGAGTTTCACTGACTAATCAAATAACTGACATTTCTCCTCAGCTCCACTCCTTCGGACAGTAAAAGACAGGCAGTTAATGCCATTTCTGCCAGTTTTTCCTACCAGTTTCTTCTTTACAGTTTTCTGAACTGTACAAACGGAACTCATTTTAAGAGACGTTTTTATTTACTTCTAAATCCCCTTAAAACAAGGCAAATTGCAATATGCTGTCAGTCTTCAGAATTCAGCAGTTTAAAACAGCACTTCAGGGTCACCGAAGATACGCCGGTATTACCCTTTCCCCAAAACCAGCCAGAGCAGCCTGTGCTACGGAGCACACCCCACGGGCTGGCCGCCCCCGGCACCGAATGCGCACGAGCTTTAGGTATTTCTTTTACCGTAGAAGCCTGAGTTCGGCCAACAAAGTTGGGTTCTGCTGGGCTTTCTCAGGGGTGGGTTGAGAGGCTTGTTCATGTTCCAGCCTGAGACGCTGAATTTCCTGGAGTATCTCTCTGTAGAAATGACAGAGGGAAGATTAAAGAAGAAGAAGGTCAGGCTCTGCACTGCTCTTAAATATTGTTACAGCCCTTCAAGCACTCTTTCTGTCAGCCTCTGGCCCAAGGACAGCAATTTTGTTCACGTATGACTGGCACAAATTCAAACCTAAGACAGGTAAGTTAGTGCAGTCCCGTGCTGTAATACACATCGAAAATTTATTACTTAAGTAATAAGAAGTATGAAATCACTTACGTGCCATAGGCTGGCAACGTCTCCCCCAAGCCTTGCAGGTGGAAAGGGCTCAGAGGCTGTTCTCAGAGGAGCAAAGTTCCATTTTCAGGACAATCGGCATGGCACAGGCTGTAGGGAGGGCTCTGAAGCGGCGGCACCAGCGACCGCAGCCACGCGGGCACCGGTTAGCTTCCCACTCCCCCTTCCCAGGCTCAGCAGGGATAAGGAACGTAACAGCCCACGGGAACAGGGACAAACTCCTGAGGCCTCGCAAAGGGAAGGCGACCAGCCAGCGGCCCAGTTAAGGCCGCTGCGTTCTGCGTAGCCGGAGGCGAGGGGACGCAGCACCGACGGCCGAGGACTCACTTATGAAAACGGGCACGAAATCCTTCTGAGGGGGCGATTACCACCTCTAGTTCTCCCCCGCCCTGCTCCGTTTTAAAACTGCGGAGCCGCTCTCCTTGCAAGGTTTCACACCAGCACCGATCGAGATCTCCCTTATCTGCGACCTCAACGCGTAATTTCAAACACCTGCAAGGTCTCTTGGTGGCGTATCGAAGCTGCGACGCTCA